CACTTGTGGGTTATCAGCCCAATTGCCACAAGCGGCCTCGGCCCACCTGTCATAAGAGCCCCGATCCCACGCGTTAGTAACTGAACCAGCTAATGGTCAACCGCGTTGACGCGACAACAAGGGCTCCGTTGGGCATTTGTAAGAATGGGTCGAGTTGTGGAGGGAAAAAGTGAGGAACGTTAGATGCCATAGGTAAAACTGAGCATAACTAAGGAATAAGTGGCACAAAAATAGAAATTCTTCAAAATATCATAGACTAGAATCCATTGTGGAGGTTATCATATGCATATAAATGAAATTTTCATACCTACATAAAAATGTGAAAAAACTTATAATAGGAAAAAAGATAAACGGAACAGCATCAGCCGGTGTGGTTTTCTCGGTCTTCGTCGAGCTTACCGGGCAGACTACAGTCTATGGCAGAGGGAGCGGAGAGTCATGCCGGGGAGCGGTGGAGAGAAAGGTGCACTGCGGGCACGATATAACTGGCTAGCTGGGCAGTGAGTGCGAGATATTATCCGATGTATGACGAGTGCATTTAGTCGACCGTTCAGCTTGCAACAGACGAAATGAATTTGGATTAAAATAAAAAGAAAATGTACTCCCTCCGTTTCTTTTTAGTTGGCATATTTTTTTTGAAGTTTCACCAGGGGGAGGGGGACCCTCCACCACCTGAATATTTTTATTAATATGTCAGAGGGTAAAAAACACCTCGAAAGCAGCCAGAGTTATCGACGAGATTACAGCGAGGGGAAAGAAGAGGTCAGACCCCCTCACCCATTTTGGGCAGTGAGGGGGCGACAAAACAGCATTTTGTGTGTGGGGTTTATCTAGGCAGCACCGAGCACACCGAGCCAGATATCTAGATGCCCGCGATTATAGTCCTTGAACCTTGACCGCCAGAGACCAGCATCATCACGACAGTCTATGAGAGTGGCCGCCAGGGACGACACACCCTCGCGAAAGACGACGACGTTCCTCCGTTTCCAGAGACGCCAACAGCGGGGGAGGCGTCGAAGAGATGAAGCTCCCTGAACGCGGCCCCCTCCGGCGACAGGACGACGCGTTGCTAGAACCGTCGCGTGCGTGCATGGGCACCCGAAGATGAGGTGATCAGCGGTTTCCAACGATGCCGAGCAGCATGGGCAACCAGCTTCAGCAGCCATGAGGATGGTCTTCCGAAGCAGCACATTCCTTGTATGGATGCGCTCCAAGGTGAGCAACCACCCGAAGAACTTCATGCGCGATGGCGCCGGAGAAGCCCAGAGGAATTCAGCGTTTGGCACCTCGACCCCTCCAAACCGAGCAAGCGTGTACGCTGCCCGGACGAAGAAGGCGCCTTTGGCTCCCGAGGAAAGAGCGGTGCTCCGCTTATCTGGATGCCCCTCGACGCCCTCGCTCCCCATGAACTCCCTCTCCGCCATCGGGGTGAGATGGGGAACGAGGAAGGCATGCAGCCCGTGGCGATGAGCCTCCCTCACTGAAACCTCCGGACAAACAACATGCGAGAACAAGGCAGGGAAAGCACACCACAGCCGGCCACCGGCAAGCCACTAGTCATGCCAGAATGACGTCTTCCGGCCGTCCCCCACACACACTCTAGTGAGAGCACGGTAGGTCGGCATCAGCTGCTTGAGGACGCTCCTGTGGTCACCGCTGAGGGGCAAGGCACTGAGGGACAGGAACAAGCGATCACCCAGCTAGCCGCAAACCCAAGACGCCTAGCGCGACGACACCTCAGCGTCAGGTCGAGACGATGCAGGATCTTGAGGAGCAGGAAGTCGTTATGGACAGTGAGGGCCCAGACTCCGAGCCCTCCTTCGGCTTTGGCCCGACACACCCGGTCCCAACCAAGCGACCAGGCATTGCGCCCCGGAAGCCCGGTCTGCGACGTTCCACAGGAACGCGCGCCCGCAGCCTGTCGAGCACAGCGAACACTGCAGGCAGCAGGCGCATGGCCGCCATGGCGTAGGTGGGTATTGAGTCAAGTACCGCGTTGATCAAGACCAGCCACCCAACAGGAGACAGGAGCGGCGCCCGCCACCCCGCCAAGTAACGCTCCACCTTGGCAAGGATTGGCGCGAAGTCTCCCATCTTGAGCTTGTCGCAGGAGAGCGACAACCCGAGGTAGTTTTGAGGGAAGGAGCCGACGACGCACCTGAACGACTCCGTGATAGACATCAGGGCCCCGGCCTCGACGTGCAGGCCCGCGAGAGTGCTCTTGGAGAAGTTGATCACCAACCCTGTCACCGCAGCGAACATATCCAGAATGACCTGAAGACGGGCCGCGACAGCGGGATCAGCCCTCATGATGATGAGAGTATCATCCACGTACTGAAGGACCACCACCGGGGGATCGGCCCCACCGACCAGGGGGTGCCTGAGGACGTCGTCGCCCCGGATCATGCGCTGGAGCACGTCTGCCACCAAGAGGAAAAGATAGGAGGACAGGGGGTCCCCTTGGCGCAAGCCATTTTTTTACCATGAACCACCTCCCGGGGATCCCATTCAAAAGAACCGCCGCCTTCAAGGACGTGAAGATGTGATCCATCCAGTCACACCAGACTGAGGGAAACCCACGCGCCTCCATGATCCGACGAAGGGCAGGCTAGGTGATGGAGTTGAAGGCTTGGGCGAAATCGAGTTTGAACACAAGAGTCAGCACCCCCCTTTTGTTGCAGCACTGGACGAGCTCAGTCGCGAAGATGAAGTTCTCCGCGATGCTCCGCCAAGAAAAGAACCCGGACTGGTCCTCGTCGATGAGCCCGATGATTTGCATCTGGAGGCGAGTTGTAAGCCCACGGCATAGGGATTTCATATTGTGAATCTTGATATTTTTTTTCTATAAACTTAATGAAAGTTTAAAAAGTTTGATTTTGACTAAATCTTATATGCAGACTAAAAAAGAAACGGAGAAGTATTATTTACGTTGCGAGCTCGGTTAAGTAACACTCGGCTTATATGGCCCACCGTCACAGAGCCGTTAAGCGCGGCGAGCTCAAACACGTGTCATGTTTGTTCGTCGTGCGGCTGCAAAACTCTCGGCTTTTACCTTTATACGCCGAACGTTTATGTACGAAAAGAGAATTTAGGTGTACACACATATTTTTAAGTGTAAGACACATTTTTTTACAACATGCAAACATTTTTTCACACTGTACACACATTTTTGTTTGAAAATGTCACAAACACATTTTTTGAAACTCGTGAACATTATTGAAATGCTACATTTTTTCGAATGTACGAAACATTTTTTTCAATCACAGAAATATTATTATACATTGTATGAACATTTGTTTGAATTAATCCATACATTTTTTTAAACTTGTGATATTTTTTAGATGTCATAAAATATTTTATTACAATTTGTTCAGATTTTGAAATTTGTTCTATTTTTTAAATTTTCAAAAAGCATTTGCACTTCAAAATTATGTTCAGGCTTCAGAAAATTTTTATGTTTCAAAAAGTGTTTGCACTTCAAAAATTTGTTGAGCTTTCAGAAAAGAAAAGTTCGCTTCATGTCTGGTTGGCCGGCCCAGACGAGTCCTTCGCCAACGATCCGAAACGTTTTCTAAAAAAATTATTTACAAAATTCTAAAAACATTATTTATAAAATGTGACACAATTTTTGGAAATTCCAAACATTTTCATAGCATGTGAAAAACTGTTGAAATTCTGAACATTTTTTAGAATTGTTTTTGAAATCACAGTTTTTAAAAATGCGAATAGAATTTTAAAATTTCAGAAAAATTTAAAACAGAAATGGAATTGCTTTTTTGTGATAAATAGAAAACAGGAATATTTTTTAACTTCTGAAAAATTTAGAAATGCGCGAATGTATTTTATAGTTCACGATTTCTTGTTGTGTTATAGTGGGCCGGCCCAAATTCTGAGTAGCAGGTTATCCCGGCCGTGATTTTCTTATTCCCAGTGTGCCAAACAGGTCTAGGGTTCAAAATAGACCGGGATTACAAGTTCAGGGTGCCAATTTCCGGGATTCAATGTTCAGGGTTTGGTTTAGCTTTCGTCTACAACTTCAAGGTCTGTTTTGGACTTTTTCCGCTATAATATAAGCCGTGCGGCCGATAAAACACACTCAATTAATTTATGGTGAGATCGTGCTACTCCTTAGCTTGCGCTATCCTCCGAGGTGAACCGGCCCGTATAAAGGCATCTCCAACGCCGATCCGCAAATTTCCTCCCGCATTTGTCCGCGGACACGGATGTGGGAGGCCTAGCCGTAAATATCCGTCTCTGTTAAATTTTAATCATCAAATAATTACATGGTTCCCTTAAAAAATGTGATTAGTAGCTTTTTATTTGGCGGAAGGTTATTAATCCATGTGCCAGTGTAGTTTCAGCCAAAGCTAGCCTTCTTGGCAAGAACTAATAAATAACCTTAAGAGAAAACTAATCACTTTGCCAAATGTTAATCATATAGCAAGAAGTAACCTTGCCCAAATATATTTGCAAAGCTTCCGCCAAATACCTAAACACCAATCACCTTGCCAAATGTTAATCATATGACAAGAAGTAACCTTCCGCCAAATGTCCAAATATATTTGTAAAGCTTTCCCCAAATGCCCGAACACTCATGGTGCTAATTAAGTGGTGCTGATTAAACTAACTACTCGTGTACACAGTATACATGCATGCATACATGTTTAGTTAGGAAAGAAAGGAGAAAATAAAGAACTTTTTTTAAGGAAAAAATAAAGAACTATTGAAGTGTTCTGATCTATAGCAATTCGGTCGAATGTTCGCCGGTTATTAAGTCCCTTTTCTTAAAACTCGCGTCTGGCTCTTGACATACATAAAAGAAAAAAAAAACACTAAGGTAAGTAAAACCTTCTCTCGGCCAAGACGTGCACATGCACACGTTACATGGCCCCTTTATTTTTCTGTAACAGGAAACAAACTTGCTAAGGGAAGAGCAACGGGATTATAGGCTAGGGTCCCTTTGGATTAGTATTCTTAACCAATTGTCTAATTTGTGTTCTTCACTTGGGCGAGCCGCCATACTTCTTCTGATCAGGGGAAGACGGCTTCGCCGGCGGCTGTGAGCTCGGTGTCATACCGGCGCGGTAGAAGTCGCCGCCGAACGTGACCGGCTCCGTCGCTGGCTGCTCTGCGACGTACGAGCTGCCGCCGAGTGCCTCGGCGAGGGGGTCGCCCGGCTGCACCACCACCTCTGGCACGACCTCCACCTGCGGGACGTACTCCTCACCGTCGCCACCCGCGTCCGGCCTTGAGAGCAGATCGGTCGGCAGCGGCATCACCTCCGGTCGCGGGAGGTACTGCCCGGGGTTCTGGTTCATGGACAGCGGCTCCATCTCCAGGCTCACCGCCCCAGTAGGGGCGTACTCCTCGAGGCCATCGGCCCGGCCGGCGATGAGCAGGCAAGCCAGGGCCACGGCGGCGACGACCGCCGGTAATAGCTGGTCGGCGTGCATGGTCGGTTAACGGAACTAATGTGAGATTTGCACTAATTTCCTTGTCATTTGCTGGTTGGCGCGTACGTGTTTATGTACCCACCAGAGGATGGGAGGTACTATTTTTGGCATGGATTGGTGGCCACTGCTATTTTAGCACTAACCAGACGAGACAACCGCCATTCAAAATGCAATGGATGTCCTGAACCATATTGCCAACAATGGACGTCCTAAAATGAGAGTGGCTAGGGAGAAACGTCTATCTTATTCTAAGAAAGCAATGGACATGGATGCTGAGTAGACATGAGAGCTGGGGAAGAGACGGAAGAGAGATGAGCAAGTGACCAAAGCAAAGAATGTGGGGCCGTGGATCAGCCCCGTGGGAATCAATGAAAATAGTGGCATCGAATTGCGTGGTTTGGAGAATGGTCCGGCAATTCGAGGTCTCCTGGATGTCCAAGAGAAGGAGGACCACGATGTTTTCTTCTTGTCAGAAACAGAAACGAATATTAAGGGATTGGAGTAGCTGAGATGGAAGTAGGTCTCCCTAACGTGATGGCTCACAAAAG